CAGAAGCCACAAGTTTTTGTTAGAAAATTTTGAACACCACTTGGTCATTTATTGTTACCATAATTCTAAATAAGTTTATTCATACTTAAAAATGATGTAGTTACTTAAAATAAATGTAAATCTTAATGAATAGTAGGAAATATTTAGTTATGTACACTTTTTTTTTTAAAATAAAATTGTTACTATTTTACGATTTTTTTATTTATTTGTATGCATATTTTGTAAAATATTTGCATATTTTCGGGTAAACACGTGCATATTTATGCGCATATTTTCTACATTTTTATTTGCATATTTGCCGAAGTCTAATAATAACCATTCTTACGGAATCTCTCCCGTATAATAAATGTCATTAAATAATTGTATTAGTGTGCCCATATGATTTTTTTGGAATTACTTCGTTTAAATATATCTCATTAAATATTTTTGTTAGTCGTTTAGTAGCGTCGGTGTTAAATAGCTTTATGAGTTCAGCACATGCATTGTCAGGTCCAGGAGCTTTGCCATTTTTTAGTTGTGATATTGCTTTTTCCACTTCATCTGCTGTGATTGGGAAGTTATCATTACATACGTATGATGTAGATTGTTTAGACTTATTATCATCAAAGAGTTCTTGTATGTATTTCGCCTATATGGATATTTCTTGATTTTTAACTGTGATGATGTTCCCCTGTTGATCTTGCATTTTGCTAGTTGTTTTGAATTTTTAAGGACCAGGTGCTTGTTTTACCTTTTTATGCATATTTAATGTACCATGTTTTTGTTCCAACAACTCTATCTCTTCACACTCTGTTTTTAACCACTTTTCTTTGGTCTCTCGTCTTTCGGTTTTGACTTATTTCTGATTTTTCCTTTTCTCTTTACTTTCTATTACATGTTCTTCTATGATCTTGTTAAATGTTTCACATATTCTGGATTGAATCTTCTGGATCACATGTTTCCTCCATGTTACTCAGCTTTTTTGAAAAAATCCATGTGACTGTCTCCTTTGTTACATTAACTTCAGTCTTCTCATATCACATTACCTGTTACATTCGTTTTTGTAATGTTTTAAAATATAAACCTAAACTTACCACTAACAGGAATGTTATCTGATGATACGTCAGCATCGGGGTAACTTTTAACTGATAGGCATCTTTTACAGAATCTCTTGTTCAACATTATGTAATTAAATTTGGTTTCTTATTATGTTTCCTGGTTGATCTTGCGGAGAGACCCAAGTATACAAACGTCTTCGTGGTGGTTGGAATAACGTATTTCTTCTTCTTCATGTACCATGTCCTTTCAGAACGTTGGTTACCATCATAGCTATTTTAATTTTATTCACTGCCACCCTAAATAGCATGCTGGTATCTACACCATACCAATCTCGCAAGTTCTTCAACCATGAGGTTCTTCTTCGTCCTGGACTGCGTTTGCCTGCTATTTTTCCTTGCATGATATTTTGTAGCAATCTATATTTGGGACCTCTCATTACATGTCCGAAATATTCCAGCTTTCTCTGCTTGATGCTTTTTATGATCTCAGTGGTCTTGCTGAGACGTTCAAGTATTGTGGAGTTACGAATCTTCTCCACCCAGGAAACTTTTAAAATTCTTCTATAGCACCACATTTCGAAAGCCTCAAGGCGATTTAGATCGATTTTATTCACAGTCCAGGACTCGACAGCATAAAGTAAGACCGAGAACACGTAGCAGCGAAGTAGGCGGATCCTTAATGCCAATTTTAGGTCTCTGTTACATAACACCTTGGACATCCTTCTAAAAGCAGCTCTAGCCTGCTCTATTCTGGATCTAATTTCGCCGTGATTTTCTGCATTACAATTTAATTGCTGTCCAAGGTAGACGATTTTATCAACTTGCTCAAGTTTGGTATTATTTACATATATAGACGGTTTTATATTCTGTTGTTTACTTATTACAAGTATTTTGGTTTTCCTTATGTTAAGATCCAGACCTGCCTCCCGGCAACTCTCAACGACACTATCAAGTAGTGTTTGCAGATCTTCTTGACTAGAAGCTAGGAGTACTGTATCGTCCGCATATCGCAAATTATTGATGACTTCGCCCTTCACAAGTATTCCTTCTTGTTTTTCAGAAAGTGCTTTTCTGAAAATTCTTTCGGAGTAAACGTTAAAAAGCAGGGGTGACAAGAGGCATCCCTGCCGTACTCCTCTTTTAATATTGAGAGCTTGTGATTCCACACCATCTACTAAAACTGATGTTGTTTGATTCCAATATAAATTTGCAATTATTCGAACATCTCTGCCGTCCAAGCCAATGTCTTTTAGAGCTTCGATCAATATAGAGTGCTTAACACGATCAAATGCCTTTTGAAAGTCAATAAAACAACAGTATATGTCTACAGATATATCACGACATCTTTGAGCAAGTACGTTCATTCCAAACAGTGCCTCTCTCGTTCCAAATCCGTTACGGAAACCAAACTGAGTGTCATCCAGGTATTCCTCACATTTATTGTAGATACGACCATGTATTACCTTCAGAAAAATTTTCAATAAGTGGTTTAACAAACTGATGGTTCTATAATCAGCACAGGTTTTTGCTGTTGTCTTCTTAGGTAGAGCTATAAACAGTGAGTTAGACCAACCATTAGGTAGTTGTCCGCTGGTATAAATGGTATTGAAAAACGAAGTTATAGCCTCTAAAACATTGCTATCCTTTATAAGCTTATATATTTCAGTTGGAATTTCATCAGGACCAGTCGCTCTGCCATCTTTTGATGATTGTATGGCCTTTATAACTTCACAGCGTGTTATTAGGGGTCCGTCGCAGTTAGTAATATCGGGAGGTGAACTACTCCTATCGTCTTCGAATAGGTTCGTGACGTAATTTTCCCATTCTTTAAGTTTGTCCTCTACTTCGAATATTACTTTACCATTTTCATCCTGTAGCAATGCATTTTGTTTCTTATTGAAGATACCAGCCGCTTCTTTTACTTTTTTATACATGTTAAACGTGTCGTATCTTTTTTCGAGTTCTTCAATGTCATGACACTGTTTGGCTAGATGTTGACTCTTTGCTTCTCGTATTTTGCGTCGAATTTCTTTTTGTATGCTATTGTAAAGTGTTTCGTTGGTTTTTGCTAGTCGCCGTTGTTCCATCAAATCCAGTATATCATCTGTCATCCAAGCCTGCTTTTTTGGCTTTGACCTGCCTTGTAAATTTCTCACACAGATTTCTTTTACTGTCGTTACGATTTTATTTAAGCCCTCATCGACGTTTTCACCAATATTTTCCCAAATTAAATTTTCGTTCAGTTGTCTTTGAACTGATTCCTTAACTTTCTCGTCTTGTAGTTGGGCTGTATCAATCTTTTTGCGAGACTTCTTTTTGATCACCTTTTTTAATTTTAATTGGGTTACAGCTACTATGGGATTGTGATCGGACCCAATGTCAGCACCTGGATAAGTTTTAACTGATTTGATGCAGTTTCTAAATCGATTTTTTATTAGAATGAAGTCGATTTGATTCCTAATAATTTTGTCCTCTGATTCTGCATTTGACTTCCAGGTGTAGAGTCTTCTCGGTGGTAGTTTAAAATGGGTATTCGATATAATGAAATCGTGTTCTTGACAGAACTGGACAAGTCGATCTCCACGTTCGTTTCTGTTTCCCAAGCCATATTCCCCCACAATGTTCAAACAGCGTCCTTTGCCGACTTTAGCGTTAAAATCTCCGAGGACTATGGTATTTTCTGCTGCTTTGACAAGATCTAGAGCATCAGTAAGATCTTTGTAGAATGCTTCTAATTTATCTTCATCACTAGATGATGTTGGGGCATAGACCTGAATTACGTTGGTAATGAACGGCTTTGAACTAAATTTTACTAGCATTACTCTGTCAGATATGGGAATATAAGTTAAAACTGATTGAGCTAAGTGTTTTGCTACTACGATTGCAACTCCATTATAGTGATTGGCATCTGTATTTCCGGCATGGTACACTTGATATCCATCTACGTCACATACTCCTGATCCCGGCCATCGCATTTCGCTTATTCCGAGGATGCTGATTTGCATTCTTTTCATTTCTTTTATGGCATTATATATTTTACCTGACTCAAACATGCTTCTGACGTTCCATGTGGCTATTTTGCAAGGATTTCGCATATTAACGACCTGAGAGGCCCTGCAGTCTTGAGATTGTCCTCTCTTGCCGGATCTTGGATTCCGAGATCCATGATCATTAATGTTTTGACTTAAATTATTTACAGCCATGATAGTTAAAACTAGGAGTGCCACAAGGCCTTTAATGCAGTAGTTCTCCTTTGCTTTCTGCATCCTTATGCCGTTGACTAATTTGTAGTTTTATAGTTCTTCCGCCTTCGGAATCAATTTCTCAATTCCAGGACAAAAGAGTGCCCTGCCACTTACCAACTCGTCCGCCCGAAGCCGTTGGTCAGTAAGTGGGGGATTGCTTATACCGACAATCGCTCGGACGCCAGAGCCTCGTTTGTTGTAAAGCAGGATGCACCGGATGATCAGAATCAAGATCATCACACGGGCAGGTGAGGTTGACATTTTGACAGGAGAGGCTATATATTGCGCATCACAGTCCCTTACATCCCATAACGTATTTGGTATTGCAAATTCGTCTTCCTCTACAAATAGCTTTAATCTTTCTCTCCTTTAATTTCTCTTCTCTAGACCAAAAAATAGGCGAAGATAGCGAGATGGAAAGAGATATCGATGAAGCAATGGAAGTCTGAGGACTCACACAACAAGATTGTTTGAATAGAAGAGAGAAGATGCTGAAAGCTAGGACACGTAAGGAAGAGCCAAAAAATAAAACTAACAGATCCTCAGATCTGTACTACAAAAATAAAAAAAGAGAAGACCATATTTTTAAAAATAAATGATACATATTAAAATAATATACTTTAGCCCTATTACAAGTTTTTCACAATCTAAAATTTAGTTGTTTCCGAAATAATTAAGGCATTCTATACCTAAAACTCTTTTTGTGTTATTATTTTAGGTGAGGAAAAATTTGAAATTGTTAAGCATATGAAATATCCATTGGAATTAAACCAATCAAGCGCATATGAACTAGTAAGTCACCAGCAATTTCCACCAATGGGACTAAAAGTGTTTTATTTGGAAAAAACTAGCAATAAGTCAGTGGCTTTAGAACCTACGTACCTTTCAGGAAACAAAACCTCCTTCACTTTGCAAAAGAAGGTATGTATTTATTTATAAGATACCCAGTACGTTTAGAAACACTATTGCTATTTACTTCTCACGTACTTCCGATGGCCATACAAGCCTTGGGTTGTATGGCTACGGTCACGCTTTTCGGTCTAGTAAAGTTTTTTTCCAGGATCCTTAAGCTAGCGGGGACAAATGAGCGGAATCCAATTTAACCAACGTAATATTTTTCGACCATTTTTCACAAATTTATTACCGACCTAATAATTTTTCACCACCAAACCAACCTTAAGGGGAGCGATTTAGCTGGCTTAAGGTTTAAGCTAGCAGAATTCGGAAAAAAAACTTTTTGCCTATGGCATATTTTTTCACACATTTTTCACTAATTTATTAGCACTCTAATAATTTTTCAGCACCAAACCACCCCTAATGGGAGAGATTCTGCTGGCTTGAGGTTCAAGCTAGCAGAATAATTCAGAAAAAAAACTTTTGCCAATGGTATGTTTTTTACCCATTTTTTAGTAATTTATTACCGCCCTAATAATTTTTTACCACCAACCAACCTTAAGGGAAGCGATTTTGCTGGCTTAAGGTTAAAACTAGAAGAATTCCAAAAAAATAGTTATGATGTACCACAGTGTTCTGCTAGGTTTTTATGAATTTATTACCACCTTAGTAATATCCCTTTAACTACCCTTTATGGAAAGTCAATAAATCTGCTAGATTAAAATTTAACGTGAAAAACTCTTTTTTTAACTTCACTCTTCTTTACTTATAACTGAAATAAAAAACTGTTTTTTAAATGTTTACTAAACTTTAACCACCTGATAATCTTGCACCCTTAACCCAACCTTATTTGGAAACGTTATTGCTAGCTTAATATTTGAGCCAGCGAAATTGATAAAAAATATATTTTTGAAATACCACAGTGTTCTGTTAGGTTTTAACGAATTTATTACCACCCTATAGATAAATTCACATTCAGATGGCAGCGTTACAGAGATAGGCCTGTACTTTCTATATGCCAGAAATAACTACATTGTTGTCAGTTTTTAATCGTACCTACAATCGTACGTTATGGGCCGGCTCCTATAAAAGAATTATAATTTCGGAAATATTTATGAATGTGAAACGGAAAAATACTACATTTTTTTAATTATATAATTTTTCTGTTGGTATTTTAAAATCTGGTTGGAAATCTGGTTTTTCGGAATTATATCTTCTGTTCAAAATTGTTTAGAATTCGTGGAAATGAAATAATTATTTGTATAATCCGTTTTTGATCTTAATGTCCTTTTAATGACACACTTTCTCTACCTGCATTTACAGTTACAGACATTAAAAAATAATTTAGAATTAAAAAAATATACCTATTTATAAATTCAAAATTATTGTCTAATGCCAGCAATTATAAATTCAGGTAAATACTTGAGAGTCATTAAAAGAATTTTCAGTTGATATCAGACGTTTGTGTCGTGTCAGTGTCAAAATGGCCGCGAGTGTAATAAAATTCAAAAACGGTAATTTGTTAAATAGTGAATGCAAAAAAATAGTGTTAAATGTTTTTAACTATTTATCAAACAGTAATAATGATAAAAGTGTATCAACAATAGTGCGGGAAGTTTCTGCTATGACTGGAGTCTCTGAGCGAACGATATTCCGATATAGAAGTGAAAGTAAAAATGGTCCACTCCTAACTCCTATAAGAAAAAAAAGAACCGGTTATTTGAATAGTAGTGAGAATAGATATGCAACTTATTATATTGGTCTTATTCTAGACCAAGTAGTGCACGGTTTTTTTATGGACAATATTCCTCCAACCCTTTACGTAGTACTAGAAAAAATTAAGCAAATGGAGCATCTTCCGAATTTTTCCAAGAGTACGTTGAGAAGACTATTGCACGACATGGGTTTCATATATGACAAACAAGGTAGAAATTTAATATTAATAGAAAAACAAGAAATAGTCGCTTGGAGGCGTCACTATCTCCGGGAAATAAAGAAACTGAGGAACGAAGGAGCCAATATCATTTATATGGACGAATCATGGGTTAATAAATACTGGAATAACCAATGGGCAAGTATGGCAAGATACAACAATAAAAAATAGCCGACAGGCTTTCGTAAATGGACTTACCATAGGTTTAAAAACTCCGACCGGAAAAGGACCAAGATTTGTTTTAGTCCATGCAGGAAACAAAGACGGATTTGTTGAAGGTGCTGACATCACTTTTCTTGCCAAAAAAGGTGCTGAAGATTACCATGAAGAGATGGACGGAGATCTATTTGAAAAATGGTTTGAAGAGATATTAATACCGAATCTCCCAAAAAATAAAAAGAATGTCATTATCTTGGACAATGCATCTTATCACTCTAGGAAATTAAATTTTCCCAAACAATATTGGGTGAAACGTCAAATTAAGGAGTGGTTCTATGAAAAGGACATTTATTTTGAAGAAGATTACTTAAAAAATGAACTTCTGAAAACTGCTAATGTGTTTAAAAATATTTATGACAAATACAAAATTGATTGTATTGGTGAAAAATACAGGAATCACAGTGACGAACAATGCCGCGTAGATGTACATATCTTAAGACTTCCGCCTTATCACTGTGAACTGAACCCAATAGAAATGGTGTGGAGTGAAGTGAAACGGTACGTGTCCTCTAAGAATTCAAGTTTCAAACAAAACGACGTTAAAACATTGATTTATGAAGGTTATGATAAAGTACAGAACAATGGACATTGGAAAAATTACGTCAACCATGTTATAAAATTGGAGAATAATTTTTGGACAGTAGACAACATTCAAGATGACATTGAACCTATTAGAATTTCATTAAACGATGACTCTGAAGATGAACTAGATTATGAAAATGAAGATGATTGAAAATTGTTTTTCGGGGGTATTCTTTTCTCAGTAAAGGTAATAAAATATTTAGTTGATCTGGTTGAAATGTAGCACACTTAAATAACTCATTAATCGACATAATTTCAAGTAGTTATATTAGACGTCATTATGCAAAAAATAAAGTCATGAACATTTAATAAATTAGTGCACAATTGAGGCCCCTAGAACACAAGGGGTGTAAGTGCCAAAAACAAAGTTTTGAAAAATCTTTGTTCAAAGTTCGATATAAATTTAAAAACCTAGGTAGCACTTTTTCAGTTTTCAGCATGTTTTCAATGACATGTAATTTTTGATGGTGTTATTGTTGTTAATGTAGAAAGTTTGAAGCCAAAAGTACGTGCCTGTTGTTAGATATCAGTTGCTAAGTGATAAGCAACTGCACTTACACCCTTGTGTTCTAGGGGCCTCAATTAGGGGTTTTTTGCAATTATCTCAGTCATTTGTTTATGTATTTTAATTTACAAACTAAAAAATTAAAAAACTTTTTAAGATCTGCAACATTTATTTTAAACATTTTTCCCTAAAATGTACGAGGAACAAAATAGGCAAAAAAATGATTTTTTCCAAACTTCATCTTTCTTTAAAAAATAAACAAAGCAAAATTGGCTGTAATTCTTCAAGGAATTATCATCAGTTTTTCCTTATCTACCGTTTAGAACATTAAAAAACCTGTAGAATATTTTTCATATTTTTTTCCCTATTAACTGCGGTATTATGTATAAAAGCATTTTAGGAATTATTACCATTTATTTCATTCACGAATTTTCTATTAACAACTTTAGCTTACCTAAACATATCTTAGTTTACCGTGAGTTTGGCCCTGCTTATTTTACAAAAGTAGCAAAACTTACAATGGCAGTAGAATTGGCAACGCTGTTATCCTATATCCGTACACTGCCATCTGAACGTGACTTTATCTATAGTAACTATTCACCCCTCAACTGCCTCTTATGGAAAACCAATAATTCTGGTTGTTTAAAATTTAAGGTAAAAGAATATTCTTTTACAATTTCACTCTCCTTTACTAATAACTGAAATAAAAAAATGTTCTGTTAGGTTTAGACTAAACTTTGATCACCATGATAATTTTCCACCAATAAACCAATCTTATTTTGAAACGTTCCTGCTAGCTTAACATTCGAGCCAGTGGAATTAATAAAAATTATTTTTGAAATACCACAGTATTCTGCTAGGTTTTTACGAATTTATTACCACCATAGTAATTTTTCACCATCAACTAACCCATGTGGAAACGCAACAATTCTTTGGTTAAAATTTAAGGTGATGAAAAATCTATTTTTACAATGTTACTGTACTCTCTCAATCAATATTTCTGTTAGGTTAAAATTTTTGGCGAATTTGTTTTATATTCCACTTTACTCTACTTATAATTGATATAAATAAGTGTTCTAGTAAGTTTTTACTACACTGTCACCACCTTGATAATTTTCCACCACTAAATCAATTTTATTTGCAAACCTTCCCGATAGCTAAATATTCGAGTCAGCAGAATGAAAAAAATTTAGTATTTGTGAAGTAGCACAGTACTTTGATGGGTTTTTATAAATTTATTACCACCCTATTAAGTTTTTACTTCTCAACTACTCCTTGTGGGAAATCAATATTTAAGCTATTAAGTGGAAGCTCGAATATTAAGCTAGCTAATTCAAACAAAAATTTTGAAATACCACATCGACCCCTGCAAAGAATAACGTTGTAACCAGCATTTATGGTATTCTTCAATAATGATAAAAAAATATACCAATTTCTTTCATTTCTTTTTTATATGTACCTATGTGACATTTTTTCAGTATAAAAAGTAAGTAATTATATAAATGTTGAACTCCTCTTTTAGAATAAGGTCTAGTTTTTTTTTATTAGATAATAGGTTATTGAACTGTGGCAGTTACAGTTTTTGATACAAATATACAGTTTCATCGAATAATCTTGTAACTGCACTTACGATGTTCTCATCGGAAAAGTTAATATGAATTTCAAATTATTGCTCGTTGTAGGTTAAGGAATAATAACAGTAGATCGTTTTTAAAATGCAAATTTTATTACAAATTAAATATAAAGTCGAATTAAATTTAAAATGAACATATTTATTTTATGTCTATCTAGTCTTCCATATCGCTGTCTTGATTAATGTTTTTGCAATCAACTGGGAGATTTTTACAACAATCGTGGTAAGTGACTGGAATGCACTGGCTTCGACATAAACTCTGCAGATCATCATATTTTGCTTTTGTTATCGCTAGATAAGATGAATATGCTAGATGTAGATTATTAGAAAGACCTTTACTAGAGTTCAACTACGTTGATGTCTGCTCATGATTTTTAAAAAATAACACCTGCTTTGTGTACTTTTCAACTGCAAACTAAACACCGGGACCGGGAAACAATCAAGATCTGTCTTGTCTATTTCCCCCTACTATTCTCACAATAAGGCCGCGAAATATTGACACACGTGTAGTATCTACCTGCATAATTATCGCAACTTAGCAGCCAATGCGACCGTGCCAATTTTTCGACGAAAATTTGATTTGGTTCAACGTCGTATCTGTACTTACTCTGTTGTTCTACAAATAATTCAATTTTTTTTATATTTACGGTATTATCCGATTCGGAATCTTTCTTATTAATGCAGTTACAGCCACACCGATCAGGTTGGCAGATAGAGCTTAAAAAGTTATCCAAGAAGAACAGTGTAACTCAAAATCGCCAAAAATGTTAGTTATTCTATGCAGGGGTCGACATGATTCTGCTCGATTTTTACTAATTTTTTTGACGGCATACCAAACGAGTTACTGAAATATTCTGGAGCAACAATGACAGAACAATTAACAACATTAATCAATAAAATTATAAAACACAATAAAATACTGGAAGAATGAAGAACGAGCGTACTAATTCTACTATTTAATAAAGGAAATAAAAAACAGCTAGAAAACTACAGAGGTATAAATTTGTTAGATACTACGCTAAAATTTACAACTAAAATTTTAATTAAAGTGCAAATTAATTAGAGAATAAGTTTAGCAGATAAACAACAGAGTTTTTGTAGTAGAAGATCGTGTACAGACGCAATATTTGTTATAAAGACAATTACTGAGAAATCATTAGATTATTATAATAGACCAGCTTTTCTGTGTCTGATTGACCTAAAGAAATTATTTGACAGAGTAAGACTTTGAGATGTAATCCATCTTCTGTATAATAGAGAAGTTTCCTTAAATATTATAAAAACTATCGATAACATCTATCAAAACAACAAAATGGTAGTCAGAATTGATAGACAACTTACATAACATAGGTACGTCGATAGCAATTAAAGTAAACTGTATACCCAAGCTTAATGAAGCCATTCAGAGCGGTGCTAAGAATAATTATATTCCACTATGCACCAACAATTTACCCATATAAATTACCGTCATTATTGTACTCATTGCGTCGAGTAAATTAAATATACGAAGAAGGTTGCGTCTCGATTTAATTTGAGTCTCTTACCACTCCCTGACACGTGTTTCTGGATCTACCCGTCATCAGAAGGAGTTTGTAAGAAGACTCAAACCAAATCAAAACGCATCGATTACTCTGAAAATTATAGGGAAATGACTACCAGAATATGCAACTAGAGACCTCTAGTGAGGAAAAATAAAGATACGTCGATAGCAATTAAAGTAAACTGTATACCCAAGAGCGGTGCTAAGAATAATTATATTCCATTATGCACCAACAATTTACCCATGTAAATTGGAAGTTGGATGTTTTAGAATTTTCCTAAATAATTGAACAAACGTTGATAACTAGAGCCAGATATATCAGCCTCTCCTCTGCTTGTCAGGTTTTGTGTCCCTTCTTCTTAGAGTGGCAATCTCTACGGAGGGTGGCAATCTGCAATTTTGTTTCTAGTTCTTCTATCTCTTTACATTGTTTCATCAAATAGATTTCCTTCGCTGTTTTGATTTTTTGCTTAATTATTCGTTGTATTTGTTTATACTTTTCTAGATCTGTAGTAGTCTATGTGGTTTCTGACAATGCGGTTTTCTGTATGTGAAGGAGACGTCCGTGTATATAGTCTTCTCTTAGGAAGCTGAAACCAAGTATTGGCAATTACGATAATATGATAGACAAGAAAAGAATATTATTATTTTCTTGACAGAATTCTATGAGTCTTTCTTCTCCCTCGTTTCCAGTTCCTATTCTGAACTCTCCAACTATATTTTCAACTGTACCTACTCCAATTTTTTCAATAAAGTCTCCTAAAATGTAAGTACTATCTCTAGATTTTGTTAACTTGATTGTATTGTGCAATTCTGATTAAAACTTTTCGATCTCATCTTCGGTCTTATCAGCTGTGGGAGCATAGACTTGGATCATATTAATATTACAGTTCCATGCTTGAATTTTTATTATTGTTATTCTTTCTGAGATTTGAATAACACCAAGCACTGATTTTCTAATAGTGTTGCTTATGATGAAGGCTACTCCGTATCGATGATCAGTTTTGTCTCCTTCAGTTTAATAAATATTGTAGTTATTTATTGATATCTCTCCATTTCCTGAGCATTGTACATCGATAACCCCAAGTACACATATTTAGCCTCTCTTTCTCCATAATATTGTAGTTTTCCAGGCTCATACATACTTCTTACATTCCATGTAGCTATTTTTATATCAGAGGGTTGAGCTTTTTTTTTTATTTTTTGTGCAAGAGTTTCGCATGTTGACGACCGAGTAGGCCTTAAGTTCTGTTGGTTGTGCTCCCCTGTCGGATTTTGGTCTCCGATTACCATAATCAATAATGTCTCTTGCGCAAGTAGTGCTAGCCATTATAATTTGTACTAGAGATGTCATCAGGGACCTTTAATGCAGTGGTTTCTCGTTGCCTTCTACATTCTGATGCCGTTGAACACTTTCGTGGTTCTTCCACCTTCGAGACCAATTTCTCAGTCTCAGGACAACAGAGTGTCCTTCCACTTACTAGCTCATCTACCCTCAGCCGTTGGTGGATTTCTTATCCCGGCAAACACTCGGACGTCAGAGCCTCGTTAGTTATCTAGCAGGATGTACCAGAAGACCATGATCTAGATCATCATACGAGCAGGTGAGGTTGATATTTGAATAGGAGTGGCTATATTTTGCGCTTTACCATCACTATCCCGTTACATCCCTCTGTATCCCTGCTTCTTTCGTTCTTTCATGATGTTTCTGTACCTTTTTTACTCTTCATTTATGTTTTTATGTTTTAGTCTGTTTTTTAGTTTGACGTTTATATTTTCTATACTACAGTGGCGCACGCACCCGGGGGGGTTTTGTGGGTTATAATCCTCCCCAGGACCCAATTCCGACACTGTTATTCACCCATTTTAAGGACTTAAAATGGTGGAGGTAGCATAAAAAAATTTCGGTGCCCAACCAAACCCCCCCCCCCCCAGGAGAAAAATTCTAGGTGCGCTACTGTTTCTATATACATAGTCACTATTTCTGTTAGTATCTTATCTTTGAGACTTTGTACATTGTATCAATTATGTTTAAAATTCTAGGGATCAGAATCCGCATTTGGTCATTTGCTGGGGCAAACATGTATTATATTCGATTGGTGTCTTAAGTCTTCAGTAAGGGGGGATATTTACTATAATATTTACTGCAAGTTCGTCTGGATATTTTCAAGTGGCTTTGTGCATATATTTTAGAGCGAGTTTAAAATTATACAAGGGAAATAAAGTGACTAACAAAGAAACATATTTTCTTACGCACTGCCAATAATTGAATTCAACATTTCCGAGCATTCACAATTGACACGTAATTTCAGCTATTTTTGGCCAATTACGGCGCGTAATTCTGGATGACTAATTTTATTTTTTGTTTTCTAGACTATACTCAAACTACGTTTGACAGATAGTTTTAGATAGGAAAGATTATAATTTTATTCTTTTTTTAGAACATGACACTAACATATGATAAAATAAATAAAACTGGAAAGCAGAAACTAAAAACAAGCGAAAAAACTGAAAATGTTATTCAAGAATTTTTATATTATCGCAGCAATAATGGTTCAGCTGATAATATTACTTCAGGAGCGTACATTTTCAGACCCGAAAGTGGTACTCAAGCCGTTCTTATTCCAGAAAATGTAGACGAAGTTGGTTGGATTCAAGGAAATATAGTAGCAGAAGTACAACAACGTTTTGGCCAGTATATAGTACAGACGATGAGACTGATGGTTGACAGTATCAACGGTGTGGATTTGGAGTACATTGAATATGATTGGATGGTAGGTCCGCTGGATAATAAAACAGTGTAAGTATGTCAGCAGAAGTACGAACACAAAAATATCTTATAGTACCTATATACTAATTTATTGACTGTGTTATAAATTTAGGTAGCGTTTTTAACTTACTTTTAACTTTATCCCTTCATGCCTGACTTTTTTGTGAAAATATTAGTTGTTATGCTTAGTGCCGGTAAAGATACATTACATTAAGATCACGAAAAATATTTGAAAAACGACTTCCCCCTCCATGTGGCAGACCTTGCATGAAAGTGACGTTCAGGCTTAAAATGTATTTGTGTACTATCGTGACTTGTAGACATTTAATAGATTAGTGCAGTGGTTCTCAAACTTTTTTAGTCGCGACACCCTTATAGGGTTAAAATATTTCGAGGCCAACCCTTTAAGCGATTTGGGAGTCGACGAAAAATGCAAAAAGTACAATTCTGAGGCTTATTTGATTTTAATATAAACTTTATTTCAGATCAATAAAATACAGTATATTTGATTTTCAAATATTTTATGGCTTCGACAGTTGGAAATTCGTTTTATGTAACAATAAAACACTGAAAACTTTGTTTTCAAACTTCCACAAAATTTTTTTTAAACCCTAATCACTACAGCTGTTTCGGCTGAGTGCATTTCTCAAGTGATCTATTTTTGGCATGCGTTTACACTTTATAGTCTCTAATGAAATAGGTTGAGGAGGGGAGAACTGTTTGTCCTAAGTTGGTCATTCAGAATTATATTTGTGTTTTTTAATTTGTTGATTTCCATAGATTCTAACAAAGATATCTTAGGGTCTTTATTTTGAATGTGAAGAATTTTAAATTCGTCATTAAAAGAATGATTATGATTAAAGAAGATTGACTAGAATGACTAGAAGGTAAAGTGCGTATGTCGAATCTGTTTTTCTATTATTAAATTATTTGACGTTGTATTTTGACATCGGAATTTCTGTTAATCTATGTAACATATTATAATAGGCTGCCAGTTTATGTTGTGTTGGATGGGATGATGAATTGTGTATAGTCGTGCCAGTATAATGTAAAATTTCAGATGTAATAAATGTGGCGACTGTCCAAAAACTTACATCGGTCAAACCGGTAGAAACTTTAATAAACGAAGCAGAACATAAAAGGGTTTTAAATAATAGAAAAACAGATTCTACATACGCACTTCACCTTCTAGATCATAATTATTCTTTTAATGACGAATTTAAAATTCTTCACATTCAAAATAAAGACCTTAAGCTATCTTTGTTAGAATCTATGGAAATCAACAAATTAAAAAACACAGATATAATTCTGAATAACCAACTTGAAACAAACAGTTCTCCCCTCCTCAACCTATTTCATTAGAGACTATAAAGTGTAAACGCATGATAAAAATAGATCACTTGAGAAAGGCAATCAGCCGAAACAGCTGTAGTGATAAGAGTTTAAAATAAAATTTTGTGGATGTTGAAAACAAAGTTTTCAATGTTTTAATTTTACATATTCAAATATTCTTACTTAATGTGATTAATGAAACTGTTTCGATGATGTTTTCATTATATGCTTTATAATTATGGGAATATTTGTAAGATTGAACCTAAAATTCTCTGATGCTTAAAGTTTGCTTCTGTATTTGTTTTTAATGTAAGCATATGCGAAGAAAGAAGACTCACAGAGATAAGTCGATGTGAAATATACACGGTTTTTCACTGCAACCTTGACAACATTATTTTCTGACTATACCTGCATTAACAACTCTTCTTGGACACCTAGGTATTTGAGTTTTAAACTGCTATCTTCGCTGATCTCAAGTAGATTTTGATAAACTTCATTTGTCATTCCGACAGATTTATTTTTTTTGGGTCGCACGAAAGCGGGTCCATCATCCAGCTATATAAGTCATCTGAGTCAATGTCAGGAAAATAGTTTACCATACTTTCTTCCAAACCTTGCAAATGAGCAATAATAATTTTAAAGAAGTTCGTTTGAGGATTAATTTCATTTGTTGTAACAAATTCGCTATTTTCGCTAATCTTATATACAATCTAATATTGCATTTTTTCGTTAAAAATTATTTATCCAATACAATTTAACCAGCGATCTTTCAAGGCTAATCATTAAACATTTGGTCTACTTCGAGACGGATTTTAACTTTGATTCAATTAACTTCATTTTTTTAATTAATTCATTTTAATTATTTGTTTTTTTTTGTGTTTCTTTTATTTTAAATCTGATACAGTCCTTCGCGCTATATTTTTAAATTAAATTTACATAATTAAATTGGATCATATTACGTAACAATTTTTAAATTTATTTCTATTTTTATAATTCATAATTTCAGTAGGTAACATACTTTTATATATATTTTGATTAATTCATACATTAATTATACACATACATATTACGTTTACGATTTGTTTTACATTTTTTTACATTGTTTTTATGCTAATTTTTGTGAATTATTTTTTGTTTTGCTCATACTTTCCACACATTACTTTCGATTTTTCTTCGTTACTTACCTTTTGATCGATATTCTCACTTGTTTGCAATTGATTTTGTTTAAAACCGTTCGCTTCTTTAAATCTAGATATTCTCTTCGTGTTGATTTGTTAATTTATTCTTGCATTGTCTTCTCTTTTGTGCTCGTATCATACAATGCTCAACAAAATGAACAAATCCAACTTTTCGCGCTATACTCGGCATTTTCTAGATTCAAGGAGGCCTATAAAATGCATTCAATTATCAAAACCACACACCTTCATTATTATTCGTAGCCAGGGTAGATTTTCATAAATCTTACAACTTTGTTTCGATTTAATTTGTTGTCTTCTTCTACTCGCTTTCGATTATCGCTGTCTTATTTCAATATTTCGATAAAATATACGTTACCTGTGGTTTCGTTAGTGCTACAGAGCACCCTAAGGTAACTAATCAAGCTGTTTAATGTGCTTTGTGTTCTGGTTCTCACCATTGGTATAAATGTTCGTAATTTTTGGGACTAAACGGCTTCAAGAACTTTTCTCGTTGGTTAACTCCATAATTCTTGTGCATGCAGCCTGATTCCGCCTCATTCGAAACAACGAACACGGTTTTGCGAATCACGGCCTCGCGTTTTGCTTCTTTTGTTAACCAACCGTCAAATTTATCTTGTTCCTTTAGACAATCACTTCTTCAAATACCAACATTTCTATTTTGCTACACAACCACATTTACTATCCTCGTCTATTTCTTTCCATATAGTTGATACATATTAAATATTCTCGCATCTTTCTTATAATTCGTATCTTGCACGATACAGGCTTTACAGCCAATTTTATATCAGTGATCTACCAAATCACGCATTTTGTAATCGGACCTTATAGACATACCCATAGGGGTTGAATTGGTTCTTCATTTCGTACATTCTGGTCAGAATTCTTGGCGAACCAAATCATACTGTGGCCTTGGAAATCATTTTCAATTATGTTCCATAAGGGCGAGTCTCTAAGACTCATTCTATATTTTATTCATATCTTTCGCTACTTCTATGTATACAAACATAGATATGTACGACAAAGGTTTTGGGAAGCAGAAAACAGTAATCACCTGTTAGTTTTATCCCAACACGACCAAGCTCGTGAAGGATATTTCTAAGTTGTGGATTTTCTCAGTAGGCACCGTTCAGTTTTGTCCCAACACGACCCAGCTCGTGAAGGATATTTCTAAATGGTTGATTTTCTTAGTAGGCACCTGTTAGTTTTGTCCCAACACGACCCAGCTCGTGAAGGATATTTCTAAGTTGTGGATTTTCTGAAAGTTAAAAGCCTATTTTCTGTTATTATATTGTTTTTACGCACCTGTTAGTTTTATCCCAACACGACCAAGCTCGTGAAGGATATTTCTAAGTTGTGGATTTTCTCAGTAGGCACCGTTCAGTTTTGTCCCAACACGACCCAGCTCGTGAAGGATATTTCTAAATGGTTGATTTTCTTAGTAGGCACCTGTTAGTTTTGTCCCAACACGACCCAGCTCGTGAAGGATATTTCTAAGTTGTGGATTTTCTGAAAGTTAAAAGCCTATTTTCTGTTATTATATTGTTTTTACGCACCTGTTAGTTTTATCCCAACACGACCAAGCTCGTGAAGGATATTTCTAACTTGTGGATTTTCTCAGTAGGCACCGGTTAGTTTTGTCCCAACACGACCCAGCTCGTGAAGGATATTTCTAAGTGGTTGATTTTCTTAGTAGGCACCTGTTAGTTTTGTCCCAACACGACCCAGCTCGTGAAGGATATCTCTAAGTTGTGGATTTTCTGAAAGTTAACAAGCCTATTTTCTGTTATTCCACCGTTTTTACAACACAATGCTCTTTATTTATCTTTTTCTCTTGTTTATATTCGCTACTTATTCGTTATTCTTATGCATATCTTCGTTTTATATGCTAAAGAATCGCTTCAGGAAATTCCCGAATCTCAAAGAAACATATGTTGCATTCATGGAGGATTTTATTGCTTCTCAACATATGATGCCGGTTCCTGAATCCGATTTTAAATCGACTATTTCTTATAACTCTCACACAGTTTTCAAAAAACAAATTTTTATTTCGCTTCTTTTATCCAAAATTCGTACTAGCTTCGACGCTAATCGACACATTTGATACTGATCCTAAAAGGGCATCTGGTTCTTTACTTAATTTTCGATATCTTCGTTGTTGTTTTATTTGCAATATAAGGCAAACGTATCGACAAATTAAAGCAAATAAGGAATTTTGGAACTATAAAAGGGGGTCCTCTGGAGATCGGACTTTTAAACCTCTCCAAGTTGTTATTACGTATCGTTACTTACGGTACTTCTTTGTTTTATTTCGCTTAAAGACTCAATAAGAGTAACGCTTTGTGTACGCAGCCTGATTCCCACCTAATTCGGAACGACGAACACGGTTTGCGAATCACGGCCTCGCGTTTTGTTTCGCTTACAAACTCTACAAGAGTAACGCTTAGTTTTATTGCTCAATGGTTTTCGCTAGGCAGTGGGCCAGCAGCCATCTCGACGGAC